TTCTAAATTTTCAGTATTATAATGTTCATAATTGGAATTAAATAAAGACCTTACCTCCTCTAATATAATTAACAAATCCTTATGTTTTTATTCTTAATTCCATGATATTCTTTTTGAACACTTTCACTCATCGGCTTAAGAAAAGTCTCGATCTTGGAAACAATTTTTGCTTTAGTCATGTTTGCTTCTGATTGTTGTGCAATTTCTTCTTGTTTTGTAATCAGAATCGGCCTAAAAAAAAGATTCAAAACTATTTTTACAAAAAACTTTAGTAATATATTCTTTTCACACCTTCTTTGCTAAACTAGTAAACTTCAATAACTGAGCACTTAATTCATGTTCCTCTTCCAAACTTTTACAAACACTCCTCGATTCTATAGGATTAACAAATTTATTTTTTCTCAAAGAAACTCTAAATCTCTGATATTCTGAAATTGCCTCTGGCCATGTTTTTGGACTAGCTGCTTGAAGATCATTATATCCAATAGACTTGAAAAAATTACACCACAACTAATTTTATAGTAATTAGATTTTATAAACTAGTATATTGTTTTAATTACTAGATTATACTAATAATTTAAATACAATTATCTGTAGGAATTTCTTGCAATTTCTTGCAGCAATTCTCCAATAATGTGCTTGTGGAATGGAAGATATTAGTGTTTTCAAGATCTTATTTATCTCTTCTAAAACAGTATCCAGTCCCTAATACTGATTGAAAAGTCCTAATCAAAAGACTACACTGTTTCTTTCTACAATCTCTTGTATAGTCAGATCAAGCTACATCAATTGCATTTTATTCACAACATCTATTAAACAATATATTGAATGATGACATGCTGACCACACTGGTAAAAAGATTCTTTTTGCAGCTCTTTTTAACAAAAGATTATTATTTCTAATAGCGGTTCTATAATTAATAATAGCCTGAAGATAAACAAATATCTATTGATAGTATTTAGTAAATATAAGTAATAAATTTATTAAATACTTTAAAAAACATTATTACTATTTGCTCAAATTTTATTTTATAAAACAAATCTTTTTGTTTTTCTACTTAGGCTAAGTATTCTTCTATTGACAGATTCGAATGATTTTTGATATATGGCCATACCAATTCTATAGCTATTGCTTGACAATAAATGTTACTAACTGAATTCCAAAACTTATAGTAATCATGACATTTCTTGAAATAAGCTAGTTGATTCTCAGTTTTATATACTTAACATATCACAAATTGTTTGAGATCGAGGTCCCTTTTTAGATAATGAAATAATTGTGTAAAATTATAAATTGAGTAATAAATTTAATAAATTAAGATATCATATAGCATTCCAATAGTAAGCAAAAAATAAAAATAGTAAAATAAAAATATAAATAAATTAAATAATATAAAAATAAACTTTTTTTTTTAAAAAAAAAAAATCAAATAAATATAATCTAAACCTACCAATTTAATTCTACATATGCCCTAAGCATGTTCATCTCCTCATGTAGTTGTTTGGTGATAAGAATCAACCAGGGATATTTGTTTTTGATTTTAATGATATGGTAATATGGAATACTATCACATGTAACAGCCACCTATTTGTGCATTTCGTCTTTAATTCCTAAAATTTGTTCAATATGAGAAAGAACCTTTTCAACATTTACTGTTGAATTTGGGTTAATATTAAGAGGGTCAGGGATAAATATTTCTGAAATATTAACATCTAGATCTGCTGATAGTTTCTGAGTAACACTAATTCTTGACAAGGTAGGTTTTTTAATTTCTTTTTCAACATCATATAGTTTATAAATAATTGGTTATTCTGTAGCATTTTTCTCTAACTCAAAGATGTGTTGATTTTGTAATTCCGCCATTATAGATAGACAAGTTTCATACTTAAAACAAACCTGCTTTCGATTGTCAATATTTCTTTCTTCACAGCTAGGACATCGTTTGCTATATCAACTACTAGGCCCTATATTAGTTACAAGAGAATCAATTTTATTAGTCACAGATAACTTTTTTTTTATTTAATAGTTTAAGAATTTTAGCAAGTTAAGTATGTAATTCTTGATCTACTGCTTCACGCATTTTAGTTATAATCTCAAAAAGGTTTTCAAATTGTAGCCTGTTGAGAGAATTAAATGCCTAAGGGGTATTAGTATATTGAATACAACTTTGAGAATCTATATTAAAAGCAACAAAACTGATGATGATATGAAATATCATGGTGTTCATTCCTTGATTAAGATAATTTTGCTGTCTTTTTTGTTCATTATCAAATGCCAAGAACAAAAGTCCTTCAGGAAGAGGATCTTCTTTTGCTGATAGCTTATCTAACTAGCTCTGAAAATGAGAATAACCTCTTGAACATGTTATATAGCTGTCAATGTTAATAGTTTTTGATCATGAAATAGAATATTTGATAGCTGATGCTAGAAGATTTATTTCCAAGACATATTTCCTATGTCTGAACCCATAAATTAAATCAACAGCCATTGCTTTTTTAAAAGGTTTTTCAATATTTAAAGAATTTGTATTAAGATTATTGTGGGTTAGTGTCTTGATAAATTTAACAACAACTTGATTATGTTTACTTAACCATATTTGTGAATTATAATTTAATAGATTTTCTAAAGAAAATCTATTATTATCTCTAATTAGAGATTCAATCTCTTCATATAAATATTTACATTCAAGTTATGCAATATTAATAACTTCCTTCATATGTTTATGTTGATCACTATGCCAAGAATTCCATTATTCGACAAGCTCTTTATTCTCTTCATTTTTTTTGATATTGATCCCTTAATTGAACTGTTTCTTTACAGTATTCATGTATTCTTGTTTTAACTCTGCTATTTCTCTATTTTGATTCTCTATTTGCAATTCTGTAATCACTTTACTATTTATTTGACTTTCAATTTGACTTTTATCAAATAAGTTTTCTGCTCTTTCAGACTCTAGCTGCAAGTTCAACTCACACAGATTAGTTATTTCCTTATAAGACCTAGAATTAGAAATAAAGTTATTATCAAAATTAGTATCAACTTTAGGTTTCTTATTTTTGTATATAAAAGATGAGTTATCTATTAGCTGTTGATAAAAATAATTTTTGGAAATGAATTGATTGTAATGCTTTTGACAGATTGAATAAGAACTCAAATACGAATAAAGATCTATGAGTTTAGGCATATATACATAATATAATGGAAGATAATTAGCTACTGAATTATCTTAGCAAGTCTCTAGGTTTGTAATACTGCCATTTTACAAAGACTGAAACTGATTGTATCCTTATACTTCTCAACTAGTTCTTGAAAAATACAAGAAAGTTCTTGAGCTGTTGGTAACAAGGAAGAGGAGGATTGTGCCATTGTAGTTAAATTCTACATAAAATATTTTAAAAAGAATTTTTTAGTGCCAGTTTTAATAAGCTTCATATTAAATTTTTTGATTCTTTTCATCTTATATACATTTTTAAAAAACAGTGATTCCGAAGTATTGTTGGGTAATCTTGAGACTAAAGATTTTTTACTCTGTGTCTATATAATTTTGACTGTATATCGATATCATGAAATGGTTAGAATTTTGATTAGAAACCTAAAAAAATGCCAAAAAAGTATTAACCAAGAGTCAATCAAATTCTTGAAGATCATTCTAGAATCGATTTCCATATTTGGTAAAATCTCTGACTGTTTTATGAGTACTTACAAGTAATCTGCCACATCAGTTGCCTAATTTTTAAAGAAAAAAGAGGATTTGAGAGGCTCATCTAACCACTGGCCTACAATAAAGTATTACCAATCTGATAACACTTTCTTATAGAGAAGTAAAAGAAGAAAAAAAAAACACAAAACTAAAATAAACTAAAAAGAGATACAGGAAGAAAAAAAAAAAATAAAAGTGTCAAGAAGCATACCTTATTCATGACCATTTAGGATACTAGCACTTTAAACCTGTATTAAGGATCTAACTACACTTTAATATGTGCTAAAGAAGTAAAAATTTTATATACATAATTTTAGAAATTACTATATATCTCTAATTTGCTATAATCCTTCAACTTAAATCCTTCTTTGTTTCTTCATTACACCATATATTAGGCTGTATATATGATTGTTGTATTCCTATTACATCATGTCACAACATGTAACTGTCCGAAAAAGAAAGTGGTAAACAATGCT